CAACTGCTGTAATTTCTCTTTGTGTTTATTTTATTGTTCGAGCTGCCACTGTTGCAGGTTTTATTGCCACTTGCTGTAATCTTTCTTCTTGTTTCTTTCTTTTTCCTCCAACCACTGCTGTAATTTCTCTTTTGGTTCTTCTTGTTTCTTTCTTTTTCCTCCAACAACTGCTGTAATTTCTTTTGTTTATTTTGCTGTTCGAGCTGCCACTGTTGCAGGTTTTCTTACAACTGCTGTTGTCTCTCTTCTTGTTTCTTTTCTCATTCTTCTTGTTTCTTTTGTTGCTCTTGTATTGCTGCGATCAAGTCTGCTAAGCTGTATTTTGATTTTCCGCCTCTCGTTTCCATTTTTTTTTCGTTCCGCTTCTGACACCAATTTGTTATGTCTCCGTTTGTTAATTAACTTTCCGTAACTTCGTTCCGACGAAACTTTAGCGACACAAGTCCTTACTTAATAAAACTGGCTTATTCTTTCTGAATATAACTTTACGATACACTTGATTTCAACATTCGCGCTAAAACAAACGCTATAACGAACTTCAACAATACTTTCCGATTGCAGATCAATTACTCACTACCTACACACATTGTCCGTCACGTTGTGAGCGTTTTATATATATACCAGACAAACATATATCTAGTAAATGCTAGGGCATTCACGAAGGAACATAATATTTCTAGAAAGCAGGTGGCGTGACACTAGTCAGGTGACCTCGCCGACGCAACAGCGTGTATTATAAAAGTTGTTAAGTTTACAGTGACGAGAAACGTACTGATTGTGCTAGTACCGTGTACTAAAAGTTTGTATCGAGAAAGAATAAACTGGTTTAATCCAGAAAGGACTTGCATCGGTGAATTTCCTCGGAAAGAATTTCTACCGGAAATTAACAAACAAGCACATACATAACAGTACGAATGTATCGAATTTAAGTTATCTAATTTCAAGTCTTCATATAGTTTTTCCAATTACTGTGATTATTTCACGAACTTTTTAGCTTTGAAACATGATATTACGTTCTTTTGTTACTAACACTGTTTGTTTTCTCCTTGTTGAGCACAAAGCTACACAGTGGATTATTTGTGCTCTTTCCAACTAGGGTTTGAAATCAGTTTTTTAGCTTTATAAGCACTCAAACGTACTTTCTGAGACACAAGGATGAGGTTAATAACATTGTAAATTATTTATTTAACCACTGTTAGCTATACATTGTTGTCATTATGTAGTAAATTGGGCGCAGATATTCTTTTATAACTTTTCTAAATATATCTGCACGGTTAGTTTCTCCATTCAAAAAGGAAAAATAAATCACATCCTTATATTTATGGTAGAAGTCAAATATTAATTTTTTTGTTGTTGTTGTCAGTGCCTCAATTAAATAAGACCGAGAGGGGCCGCCAGGAGCGTTTCCATGCTATCTAAATCGAAACCATTTGTTCTTTTCTCTGTGGACTTTAAGTTCCACTGAATTGAAGGGAAATTGAAACTTGAAATGCTGCAATATGATAGACAAATCCATTGAACAATTTGAATACAAGAAATGTATTGATTTTGTTTTCCTCAATTTTAACTGTAAGTGTTAAGCAACAAGTACTGAAATAGAATAATGTAGAATCTTCTTCAGTTTCAAGTTGATGAGTTAGCCCTAACTTAGTCTTAAGTTCACACCACATTGTTTTTAACTTAAAATCAGTTTGGCACTTATGACATGCAGTGTGTTGATATGGAGCTTTTTTATTTAAAAAAGGACTTCACTGATTCTGTTATTGTTAAGATTCAAAAATAGTGAGGTAACATTTAACTTTTTAAGTAAATTATGTTTGTGAAACTGAAAATAAAAAAAATTATGCTAGTTTATCTAGACTACAGTGTGATTGTGCTATAAAATGTTTAAAATTTCCTATATGGATCACATTGTATCTGTTCATTATTATAACTATTAGAATTTGAGGAAGTCAAGATTAAGATAACACGAACACCAGGATTTTCCATAGTGCATGCATATAAGTATTATAAACAGGTATAATATGGTAAATTTATATATTCTGTATGTTTGATATGCTCAACCTTAATGATTTAAATGTTCTAGACTTGAATTTTACAGAATTCAATTCCTACTGAATACTATCAAGAAATGTCAATAAGAAAGTGAAGAGCCCATTGATCAGATGGTTATTATTATTACTATTGAAAAACTGTATGTTATAAATTACCCTTATACTTTTGCTCCTGTAGCCTGTGAATCTCATGAAAGCTGGGAAGGAGCATGCCATATGTGAACTAAAAACAACTTTAATCTTTAATTATTTTGGATAATATTAAATATGTAACAATGCTGTTAAAAGTTTCAAAATAAAATCTCACACCTAGTTTCTCCATGATGTATATACAGCAACAATACATCTCGTTGACAGTTACAGTATTGTTTTACATGTTTTATAATTCTTGGCATTAATGGATCTTAGTCCATAATACAGCTTAAGGTTGCCTTCAAGTACATTTCCACCTAAAAGCTTCATTCAAGCAAATTCATCAATTTGTTTCATACATTTATGAATTACAGTTTATTGATGTTGTTCACTTCGTTTTTGATGCAGGTTAATAGGACTACTTTACATTGTTTGACATGAGAATGTGATAGAAGTACACAGCATGGTCACAAGTAAATAGACACCACCTTTTCAGAAAAAATGAAGATTTTCAGTCATATTCACA